AAGTATACATATTTTCTTGTAATTTCATACATCCATGAATTCATACCTTTCAAGAAATATTTCTACACCATTGCTAGATTACCCACTAAATCATTACCTCCCTTAATTTAAATTCTACTTCTATACAACAATTTCACTTTCTTGAATTTCTTTTTAACTACACTTTATGCTACATTGCCACCTACACCTTATATCAATTTCCTTACCAAAAAGCATGGTATTATACACACATAATCAAAAATCATTTTAAAATCTACATGCAACATGTATGCATAAACAAAATTCTCAAATCTCAAATAATTTCCCAACATGCATGCTTAACTAATTGTTATACCATTTCATCAACATAATTCTCAAATCTTAAACAATATCCAATATGCATGCTTAAATTCTCAAATCTCAAACAATAATTTCATACTATGTTTTCTTTTTCCAAGAAATAAAGAAAATATAAAGAAAGTGGTTCCTCATTACTTACCTCTTGCACCAGCACCCAAACTCTTTTCTTCTTTTTCCTTTCTTCTCCTTTTTTTTTTTCTCTTCCTTTCTTGGTCTTCCTTGCCTTAGTTAAGAATGGCTTTGCTTTGAAGAGTTCTTCTTTTTTTTTTTTCCTTTTATATTTCCCTACACATGCACAATGATGACATTCTCACTTTGGTCTCCCAAACCATCACTCTTCCCTCTCCTCTTCCTAGCCAACCATTTTTCTTGAAACAAAGCCTTCATGTGCTTGTATGCAATATATATATATATATATATATATAAAGTAGAATAATTTTGAATTTTGAAGATAAAGAGCGGAACAAATTGTTTCGTAACTAAAAAAGTAATCATTCACGGACTGCGTTATCTCAAACTGTCTTAAGCTATTGACGTCTTAGATCGTTTTAATCCGACGTATCACATTAACTCTTTTGAAATATTTTTGCTGCTCAAAATTTATAGTTTCTAAAATTGATATTGCAAAATTTAATTCCCTCAAATCTTTTTTTTAAATCAAGCAAATTTCTCTCTCTTTCATTCCTCTGTATCTTTCTCTCACGCTCAATTCAAGTAAAAAGTATCAATTTTTCACAATTTTTTTCTTTGTATCTGACAAAAATATTAGAGTGTCTGATTCAAGCAAATACTATATCTTTCTGTAGATAAATAGTATATATCATAGAGAGAGATAGTATATTATGAAAATATTCCTTTGTATCTCTTTCTAAAGAAAAATTATGTAATAAATATTAGATAGATAATATATATCATGAAAATATTCCTCTGTATATTTTTTTTTCATTCAAATAATACTGCAAACACAAATCATACAAATTCAATAGTCAATTTTATTTTTTTTCATAATCAATAAAAAAAATAACTTGCAAAAAATCTAATTTAACAAAGAAAATATACTTAAAATGTAAAATATACAAGATTAAATTCAAGTTATTGGGCAACTCAAATATCAAGAGATATATTAAAGTAAATATGCTTAACATTTAATATATACAAGATTAAATTCATATACAAACATGATTCATACAAATTTAATATTTAGTGAGCAACATAAAGCAACAATATTTAATAAATAATGTAAATCTAAATACCCGAGAAAAATGATATACAATTACAAGCAGAGAAATTATACAAAATTATAAGAAATATTATGAACATGAATCATATAAATTCAATATTTAATGAACAACATGAAACAACAATCTTTACTAAATAATCCAATACTAAGAATATAAATAACTGAGAAGAATGATATAAAATTAAAAGCACTACTATAAACTCAAATCATACAAATTCAATAGTCAATTTTTTTTTTCATAATCAATAAAAAAAACATAACTTACAAAAAATCTAATTTAACAAAAAAAAATATGATTAACATGTAAAATATACGAGATTAAATTCAAGTTATTGGGCAACTCAAAAATCAAGAAATATATTAAAGAAAATGTGCTTAACATTTAAAATATTACAAGATTAAATTCATATACAAACCAAATCATACAAATTCAATATTAAGTGAACAACACAAAGCAATAATATTTACTAAATAATTCAAATTTAAATATTCGATAAAAATGATACAAAATTACAAGTGAGAGAAACGATACAAAATTATAAGTAATACTGTAAACACGAATCATACAAATTCAATATTTAGTAAACAACATGAAGCAACAATCTTTACTAAATAATCTAATACTAAATAATGTTTAGTTTAAGAAAATATACTAAGAATATAAATAACTGAGAAGAAAGATATAAAATTAAAAACACTAATATAAACTCAAATCATAAAAATTCAACAATCAGATCATATCTTTTGAAAGTCAGTTGAATTTTTTATAGTTATATTTAGTCATTTGACAACATCTGCAGACTTAGATTATTTGTGGAAGTATTGTTTTAATTTTCATTCTATTAGTTATGAATTCGGTTATTATTTAGATAAAGTTGATTATGAATGTTAAAATCGTGGATTTTGAATCAAAAACAAAACATTGAATATTATTAACTGATATAACTTTTCAGATGTTTGAATTATTATGTTTTAGTAGTTATAACATAATTTTAGTGGCGTAACAATTAACATAATTTTGCATGTAGGTTGATATTATAAAAAATATTAACGGACTCATTTTGTTCGTCATTTACTACAATATTGTATTTTATTTTACATTTATGTATGAACAAATATTTTTAACTAATTTATGAGTAACACCATGTCTTCAGGCACGGGCAATTGCTAGTGTATATATATATTGCTAAGTTTTGACTCATCTCTTATACACACTAATTTACTTATTTATTTATTTATTTGGTAACACTCAAATTAATATCACATTCTCACCGCCCCACTTAATCTCATGTGCACTAACATATATCAAATAAATTAATTATGTCACATGCAATATACCAATTCAATTATCCTACACCCAATCAATGTTCCATTTTTAATTAATAGGTACATATCGATCAAAGTCATATCGCATGATCATGCTCGTAATAATTATTTACGTGGTCATCATACATACTCATACTCATAATAATTATTTATGTGGCCGTCATATATATTCGGGTTTTACAATCCTAGTTGACACTACCTTTAGAAATGCAACCGTTGACTAACCTGTTAGAGAGAAAGGATATCTGAAGGAATAATGAGCTTACATAAGCAGCTTTTCCCAGCCTGTTGGGATAAGGAAACTAGAAGGATGGAAAATTTTATCCCCAATTTTAGAATATGAACTTTATTTGCCAAAGACTTGTTCAAATGACGGGATTCATTTAAATATTGTGAAGAAGATAAAATAGCCAATGGATAAAGATAAGATCTCACCCTCGGCAAGCCTTATCAACGTGATCAAACAAACTCCTAGCACAATTAGGACTCTGGATGGCTATCCCATCAAAGGATAAAGTTCACAGAAGCCAAGACTCCTCAACTGAAAGGAGATTGGACAAATTCAAACTAACAAAAAAGCCTAGAGTCCACTCTCCCTGGAACACCTATCAAAATACTATAAAAGATGACCTCTAGGGTAAGACCCAGAGGAACACACTAAGCCCAATTCAATTACAGCACTTTAATTTCTCAATTATTGACTTAAGCGTCGGAGGGTTGACCCTCTGAGCACCCATCCGGTCTTCGACTTTCTTTTCAAGTAACACACCTATTGGAAACCTCATAGCTTGAAAAAAGGTGTAGCCAGGCCCAAATCAAACCGCAAACAACTTTCAGAACAGTTGGACACATTTTTTATGCCAACAATAATCATCAAGGGTAAAATAAAGAATTAAATTTTTTTATGTCAATGTACTTTTATTAGTAGTACAGATAAATAAATAGATAGATAGATAGATACGCTCTAATCTTCAATTATTGTTCATTGCTTGGGAGAGAAGATTATCAAATTTCCCCAAATATTTACCAGAGTATTTAGACAATCATGTGATGTTCTCAACATCATCTAATTGTGGGGCCAACATTTTTACACCTCTATAGAATTTCAACTGTTTTGAATGAAAGCATTTAGGGTTTTTTTTTTAGGGGGAGAGGGCTATTCCCCTATTGGGCTTCTAGTAAGCTCTTAGGGCACCTGAGTTTAGACCCCCTATATATGATGTCATGAACTCTTTCACATTCCTAATTTCATTTGGTTACGGCAGAGTTTAAGCATGTTTTTCATCAAATATTCATAATTGGATAAAAAAAAAATATTTTGTGAGTTCAAATAAAAGAATAAATTAATTTGGGATGCAAGTGATTTTAATAACTCAGGCTCAATTTTGTGAGTGAGATGAAAAAAAAAATTCAATTACGGTTGAGTTTGGGCAAGGCCCGGCTCAACTTGGTATGATTGATTGGCATAGGTTCCATTGTTCGGTAGGAATAGGTGAATAAGACCAAGAGAAAGCTTCTCTAAGCACTTTCCTTCGAATTCTATTATCATTTTTCTAACGCAATTTCAATGTCAAATTATCGAATGAAATTATATTCTTTTTTTTTTCTTGGATTAAATCTGAAAGTAACATATGTAATGTGCAAATTCACAAATATTGAATAAGGAAAGTTCAAAGTTGGAGAAGTAGACCATTAAAAAGCAAGCAAGTCAAAGAAAGCATTATTTGTTAAAGAATCCAAGTTGGGTAGAGACTACGGTTCGACCTATGCTCTTCATTTTATTAGCCTTTCTCGGGAGATCATCACATTTCCCTTCTCCATGACGGAGAAGATTATGGTACCAAAAGGAAAAAAAAAATTAAGTACAGTATCACCATTAAATTTTTTTAATAATTTTTTGGGATCATTTAAAATTTTTGTGGTAATTTGAGATCTATTTTAAAATTATTAGGATTGATTTGAAGTTATCACAAAAATTATTAATTATTTTTCGTGGCTGGAAACTTAAAAGTTGCAATATCACTCAAAATTTTAGAAAATTTTTATTATAAATAAACACAAAAACATGTATTTAGAAATCTTAGGGGTATGTTAACAAATTTTGGGTTTCGATAGTGTTGTCCACCTCCCTTCTTCACTATACAATAACCACACAAAACTCAAATCCACAACCCAGCCATCGGCTTCTTCGCAAAGAAAAATTTTACAGAGAAAAAAAAACGAGAGAGAGAAAAGAAAAGGAGTGAAACCAATCTCAGATTCTCTTTCATTGGGAAACTTCCATGGTTCTCGTTCAAAGACCATAGTTTATTTGTTAAATTGACATCTGGGTCTCTCTTAAAATCAGAAATTGTTGATGATTTTTGGTGGGTATTATTGGGATGGTGAACAATCATCAAGAAGATAGGGACAGGAACAACCACCAATCAGCCATTGCGATAGGTGGAGGAGCTACCAGGTCATGGGGCACCACCGCCTCGGGCCAATCGGTTTCGACTAGCGGCAGTGTTGGGTCCCCATCGAGTCGCAGCGAGACGGCAAATGCCACACCGGCAAGTGAGAACACTTTTCAGAGGCTAAACCATCTCGACATTCACGGGGACGATGCCGGATCTCAAGGGGCTGCTGGGTGAGTTTTTTTATCTCTTTCTTCTTGTTGAAATCATAACGGGCGTCTGGTTAATGGTGTATTTGTTATGGGTTTTGGATTAGCACATTGAAATTTTAGGCATTGTGCTTTATTTTTGAGTGGGAATTCTTGAAATTGGTGATTAATTTCATTATATCTCTTGTATGACAATATAGGAAGATTCATGAACCATGTTTTCATGATGATGTCTGAATTTTGGAAGTGTGTCCCAGTCTACTTTTATGGTTGAATTTGGCGCCCACACAGCTGGCCTTGGCTTCTTGTTAATAGTCTGTAGTTGAATTTCTCATGCTTTGGCTATCTTTCCATCTTGTGTCTTTTGTGATTATGTTTTCCTGTGTTCAGCCACAATTGCGATGTTTTAAACTTCTAATAGTATTTTGTAATACTCATTGCTTGCTAATAGCTATTTGTCTCTATAATTCCGGCAATGGTAACTGATCATTAGTTCCGAAACAGTAACAAGAAGAAAAAAAGAGGTCAACGTGCGGTAGGAGGGGATAAGAGTGGTAGAGGACTCCGCCAGTTTAGCATGAAAGGTGCGTGTGCATTATCGTCTTTCTTTCTTTATATTGTCTTAGTCTGTAAGACTGTTTTGTTTTATCTCTGCAACATTATATTGTGGTTATGTTGAGATGACATATGGTATGGAGGTTGAATTGCATTTTCTCGATTGTTTTTTTATTGTGAGAACAGTTGTTTTATGCTGGTACCATGTAACTAATTTTTTTTTTTGGGCGAGTCATGTAACTGATGTTTCGATAACAGTTTTGTTACCAACTCATGTATTTGCCTCTTGTTACATCTAGTGTGCGAAAAAGTGGAAAGCAAGGGAAGAACAACTTACAATGAGGTCAGTTTGTTTATTCTGATCGGTAATATAATGATCTTCGTGTTTTAGTTGAATTTTCTGATCTTTATTCTTTGTGCTCTCTTTGCATAAACTGAATGACCTGGCACCTATTTATTCTCAGTGGGATGCTTTTGGTTTTCTCCTTGAGTTAATTGTGTGAACGTTATGTATTGTCTGGTGGTACTTAAAGGTGCTGCCAAACCTAGTATGCAGTAATACATACTGAACTTAGAATGCTTGGTTTTCGGCCATGTTCATCCAATTACGCCAGAAAATTTTAACAAATATTTGCTTGAAGGGAGGCAGATCAAATGTAGCCAAACTCCTAAGATCTTTAATTCTTGACAGAAAATTTAGAAGTCTTAGTTTGAAGGTTTTGCTATTATAGACCTTGTTGATGAAGCCTGGTAATTCTTCATTATTAATCCTGTTTGAAGGTTTTATTTTTTTTATTTTTTTAGGTTATGGCTGTAATTAAATATAAAACTACTGCCTTTCCACATCAACTATAGTTGGTTAAGGTTTATAAAATTACACGGGTGGGATATCTGTGGAATGTTGGAGTCATGTTGTTCTACTTGTTTTTCATTGTTCTATCCAAAAAAAAAAAGTCACATTTAGTTGTATAGATGTCACAATTGAATCCTGACCTCTTTAGTCTCTGTGTTGAAGTTGACCACATTTTTCTATATGTTAAGGAGAGTTTCCAAAAAGATTGATTTCTTATTGCCTCATCGGTATATAGGCATTTATTTATGTTGCATAATATCTACCATATACAAGGGCTTATTGGTTTGGAGCTTCTAATTAAGTTTAGACTATTTTCCTTGGACGTCCTAAATAATTATAAGTATATAAAGTCACTTACCGGGGAAAAAAAAATGTATAGTGATTGGGATCGTGTAGGAATTGGATAGATATTATAGATTAGTTATGAGAGTTATTTAAATACTTTTAATATTTATCTTTTAAGTAATTTCTTTTAACTTTTGAAGATTTATTTGTCGCTATTTATTTATTTAGGATTTTAATTTTCCTATATATAGGGATGCATGTAAGGATTTTATTTAAATTAGATTTTGATTATTATTGAATACTGATATTGCTTCCTTCTCAAATTCTCTCTCTTTTCTCATCTATTTCTTCTTCTTTTTTCATCCTTAATTCTTACCTTCTCAGTCTATATCAATTTGGTATTAGAGCTAATACAATCTACATCAATTTGATATTAGAGTCCAACTTCGATTCGTATAAATCACATCATCATTGTTCATCGAAAAACACTGTTTATTACGACACTGTTCATCGCACACTATTCGTCACCATAAATAGTGAACCTCTTCACCCGGTTGCTGTTCATCGCTGTTGTTCATCGCCATAAACAATGAACATCTTTACCCAGTTGCTGTGAGCGTACACCCAATCCAAATCAGAATCATTGTTCAGCCCCTTTAGTTGAACACCACAAAGAAATCCAAATCAAAATCATTGTAACGCCTCAATCTACCATTGTTCATCGCCTGCCACTGTTTATCGCGAGGTTGGAAGTCGAAGTCGCCGTCGCCGTCACCGTCGCCGTTGCTGTTGGAATTCGTCGGAGTCTGGATAGCTAGGGCGTTGTTCAAGAATGAGACGTGGAGAAGAAGACTTCTACCAAATATTCCAGAATTACAGAAATATCCCCCGTAAAATTAGAAAATTTTAGAATCACCCCAGAAAATTTAGAAATTGCAGAATCACCCCCCAAAAGTTTCAAAAATCACAGAAATATCATCCATAAGTTTCAAAATTGCATATAACATCTCAGCAAATCTAAAAAATTACAGAATCACCCCCAAAAATTCCAGAAAATTACAAAAATATCACCCCAAAAGTTTCAAAAATTACAAAATCATTCCCAAAAAGTTTCAGAATTTCCTCTTGATTATGGTACGCATACTCCCATAGAATTTGAGACTAATATTTTTATTTATTTGGAAATTAGAGAATTCGCAAAGGGTCCAAAACACATTTTCTTCTATTTAAACTTTCTAACTTCTTTAAATTGTCAATTGCATTCTTGACCTTGTTCTTATACCATTCTCATCTTTCAAGAGTCACTAATGAGTTTCTCTAATGCACATATTTCAAAAATCTTTCGTCGAGATCATCTTCATAGTAAGTTTAGGGATGTTTACATGGAGTCAACCCCTATGACCAATCTAATCAAAGATCCTTCTATATTTAGTGGGACTTTAGATCCTTTTGAATTCTTAGATTGATTAGCTAATTTAGAAGAATATTTTAATTGGCATGACATGTCGGATTCTCATTGTGTCCGTTTTGTTAAATTGATGTTAGAGGCTTACGCCAAACGGTATTGACAAGTAATCCAAAGAAACCTAGACAGTTTAGGAGAATCACCTATCACTTGGGTTGAAATGAAATATAAATTGAAAGAGAAATATTTGCCTACTTCCTGCACGAATCTATTTTATGACCAGTGGCTCATTTTTAGATAACATTCTTCTAGTGTCTCTAATTACTTTGTCTAGTTTGATTATCTCATGTACTTGTGTGACATTATTGATAAACCTTGGACAATTGATTAGTTTATTCTTGAGTTAAGACAAAAAATTAGTAGACAGGTCAAGCTATACACTTTTAATACGTTAGTAGCAGCCTATCAATATGCTCTAAAGGTTGAGAGATTTCATAAGAAATTTAACTATAGCTTGATGGGTTTTCAATCACAGCCAGCTGACAGGACACCTTCTAATTTTAATTTCATCATATATGAGTATCATGATTACTTGAATAATGTACATGTTATTTCTGCATGTTTTCTTAATTCCATGGTGGCCATTGATTTGGATGACACACTCTCACGTACAAAAAAAGATGTTACTCATATCGACTACAAATCCCTTTGTTCGGTTTCATTAGATCAGAGTTCACCTCCTTCAAACCAACAAAAGTCAATAGCTGAAGAAAGTGAGTTTGAGCATTTGCCGAAGTCAAATGTTGAGTCACTACTTATAATAGAACTTGCTGAAAAGTCTATCGAGTCCACACTTATGAAAGATGTCGAGCATATTGAGTTACCTATTTCAGAATCTTTTGATTATTGTTTTGTGTCTCCTATTTCAAGTCAATTTAACTTTGTTCCCAATTCTTTTTCCTCTAAAATAATTGACTTTATTCCTACTATCAAGATTTCACTTGAATTGGTACTTAATTATTTTCACCACCAAAGCGTTATTGTTACTCCTTTGTCATCAATATCTTATCCCATTGAATACTTTTTATTGAAACTTAATGAGAATTGTTTTGCTATTCTCGTTTTTGGATCTAATGCTTATTTGCTTAATTTTTTATTGAATGTTGATATTAGTCCGAATTTTCATTTGGAGAACATGTTACGTAATCAAGATACTCCAGAACCTCTTATTTTGTTAGCCGGTGTTTCTACAGATGGAGATTCTTGCATTTATCCTGATCGATGGAAAGATGTTGACGGTTCTTTCATTCTAGATGAGGCGTTTTGTCATCTTCATGCTGTTCTCTTATGGTACTTTTGCTTTGAAAACTCTTCAGAGGAGAGTTTTTCTCAATTAGGGGAGAATGATGGGAATCGTGTAGGAATTGGATAAATATTTTAGATTAATCATGAGATTAATTTAGATATTTTTAATATTTATCTTTTAAGTAATTTCTTTAACTTTTGAGTGTATATTTGTCATTATTTATTTGTTTTAGGGTTTTAGTTTTCCTATATAAAGGGATGCATGTATGGGTTTTATTTAGATTAAATAATATTGGCATTACTTCCTTATCAAATTCTTTCTCTTTTCTTATCTCTTCTTCTTCTGTTCTCATTCCTAGTGTACATCAATTTGGTATCAGAAATAATACGATCTACATTAATTTGGTATCGGAGCTAATACGATATACATCAATTTGATATAAGATGATTTGATTATTATCCTGGTTGATGGAAAGATGTTGATGGTTCTTTTATTCTAAATGAGGCATTATGTCATCTTCATCCTGCTCTCTTAGGGTACTTCTGTTTTGAAGACTCTCCGGAAGAGAGTTTTTCTCAACTGGGGGAGAATGATAGGGATCGTGTAGAAATTGGATAGATATTATAGATTATTTATGAGAGTTATTTAGATACTTTTAACATTTATTTTTTAAGTAATTTTTTTTTACTTTTGAAGGTTTATTTGTCATTATTTATTTGTTTTAGTGTTTTAGTTTTCTTATATAAAGGGATGCATATAAGGGTTTTATTCAGATTAGACTTTGATTATTAATGAATACTGATATTGCTTTCTTATCAAACTCTCTCTCTTTTTTCTTCTCTTTCTTCTTCTCATCTAATCCCTAATTCTTACCTTCCTAATCTACATCAATTTGGTATCAGAGCTAATACGATCTACATCATATAGAGTTAGAATTTAAACAGGTGGAACTGCTTTTTGTTTGTTTTTGTGATCTTCTTGAGTATCCATGGGCATCAACCCTAATTATTGAAGACTTCTTCATACAATATCCGTGCTTCATGTTGATAGTCTTTGAAATAACTACGATCTTAATCTCGTCTATACTTTAGCAATTCTTTTTATGACGCAACGCCTTAATTTCAGGAAGTTTTTCATTTTCCAGGTTGCAGATGAACTTGTAGCTGAATTTGCAGATCCTAGCAGTAGTCTTGCATCTCCAGACCAGGTTTGTCACTCTCCAGTCATGGCGATGAAAACATTGTTAACTCTCCATTACTTGTGTCTGTTAGTGAAAAGGTTCACTGTTAAACTTAGTGATTCAAGCGTTTCATTTCTGTTTGAACCATTTATGACAGCAACAATATGATGAGAAAAACATTCGGCGTAGGGTATATGATGCCCTCAATGTTCTCATGGCAATGGATATAATTTCTAAAGATAAAAAGGAAATACAGTGGAAGGGTCTGCCTCGAACCAGCGTAAATGATGTTGAAGAGCTAAAGGTTCAAGTTTCTTGGTTCTTGTTTTTCCTTTTTTATTTTATAATTACGAATCTTAGGTGGAAATTTTCATTTTCAATGGCAACTGTTATAGATCTAGTATGAACTAATCCAACCTTCTGTTATTTTAATCATTACAGAGTGAGCGTCTTGGACTGAGAAATAGAATTGAAAAGAAAGCAGCTTATTTGCAAGAACTGGAGGAACAAGTAAGAATTATGAATTTATTTGGTACCTCTGGAGTCTGGTCTTTGTGAATTGCTTACATTTTTTCTATTTGGAATAAACTTGTTTTGTTGCAGCAGAATATGTTTCATGATCAGTTTTTGCTAACTCTATCTTTCCTTCCATCAAGTACATAGGCCTTCAGAATCTCATGCAACGGAATGAGCCATTATACAGCTCAGGAAATGCTCCTAGCGGGGGCGTGGCTTTGCCTTTTATACTGGTGCAGGCAAGTTCTTTATTTGTGTTATAGTTCCTTCTGTGTTGACAATTTGTTGGCAAAGTTGCTACATTTTCCTCTTTTTGTTGTTTTACCTCCCCTACTTCCCCTCCCCCCCATCTTCTCCGGTTGGAGTAGAGATGATAATTTCCAAACTTTAGACGGATTCTACCTGAGGTGGCACTGGGTTTTGGTTAGTGTCATGGCTGTCCTAGATTACAGATGATGAGTAATATGTCATGGAAACTCATTGATGAACAGCACTCGTGAAACAACCATTATGGGTAATAGTGACACCACTTCTTATGAAAGCATGACAATGTCAGTTATTTTCCATCACAAGATCATAACATGTTTTTGAAGGAATGATTATTTTGACTAGCCTTTAATACGAGCAGTTTTGATGAAAATATGCAATTTTAAGTTCAGTTGGTAAGAAAATATTTGAACTTTTAGCAGATATTCCCGTTGCATTCATAGTAAGTTTTCTCATCCTTTCTGGCATTTGGAAACTGCAGACTCGTCCTCATGCAACTGTTGAGGTGGAAATATCAGAAGATATGCAACTGGTGCATTTTGACTTTAATAGGTATGGAACCTTATGCCATATTTTGTGTGTTCATATTCTGGCTGTCGGGATAGTGGCGTCTTCAGCTTTCATTTTACGTGAACAAATATGCTCATGACATGTTTTTGTAACTTGTGTGATCTAAAATGAAGTAATTTAATGATTGTTTTCTGATGATGGAAAATGTTGTGGTTGGTAACCGGATAGTGGTTTTTATATACCAGCAATCTTGAGTCATTTACCTTTGTAAGATTTGAGTGATTCCCCTTAGTTGACAGTTCGCCAAGCATGTTAAAATATTTCTGAAGTAATATTTTTTTTTACGTTCTCTTACTCTGTTCATTTATATGCTAATTTAATGCAGCACTCCATTTGAGCTACATGATGACAATTATGTGCTCAAGGCAATGAAATTTTGTGAAAGACCACAGGGTAATGATGTGGCACACAATTTCTCCGCAGATGGGGGTGAAGGCTCCAGCATGACTGACATTTTTCATCCTGAAATTCCTATTCCTTCGATGTCTAGCATACCAGTTAGGCCTCCCACCTCGCCTCCCCTTCCTGGAATCATTAAGGCACGTGTTAAGCATGAGCATTAGTCTATAATATAGTCAAATTCTTATCATCTTAGCATGGGGAATATATTGTCGATGTTTATTGTGTAAAATATTTACCTGGAAGTGGGTGGGCTCCCTGTTTTTGAATGCCTCAGTTGCGTGCCCAGTTATATGGCTTGGTTTAACGAGTAGACCTTTCTTTTTTCCTTCAAAACGTTTAAGGGGTTCTGCTTCCCGCAAGTTCTCTGTTTCACATATTCCTGATAGGCTATTCTACTTGTTCTATCATAGTTTTCTCCTTCTTTGTCCCATGATGTAGTTGAATGAAGTTCATTTGTAATGAATTATAGAAGATTGTCGAGCTACATACAGAAGTATGATATTTATTTAAATATTAGGTTGTATGTGTTGCATTTGTATCTTGTGTATGCGTTTTTGTCCTGTTTTCATTGTGGTTCTAAACGAAAAGTCACTTGCAATATTCTACAAGGGCCGCTCCCATCACTGCAGTATTTGAGCGCATTAGATGTACATAGTATAGGGTGGAACAAACTTTTCAATAAATTCTACTCTTCAGTGGCCCAGGTGCAGGTTCAGAGCCAATTGTTTCTGAAAATGTTGTAGTTTGTGTATTGAGCTTTACTAACAATGGCATTTGGAACTAGTGTGTGGTAGCGTTGCTAAACCAGCAATTCGATTTGGTTGACTCATTCTAGTTTAATCAAAACGTTAATGAATCAAATTTGATTTGATTAAACTTCTATTTTCGTTTTGAAAAATCAAATCCAATTTACATTGGTTCGAACAGGGCTTGGTTCTTTTTTTCGCTAGAGAAAAAAGGGGTGAGAGTAAAGGAGAGCGTCCAAATATTATCATAATAGACTTTCACTGTTGGGATTATAAGACTCTGATCGCACTCATTATTCCTTTCATGGTCAAACCTATTCTTAAATAATTTCAGATCAAATATAAACTTTTTTTTATATTATTAATTTATATCTATACTACTAATAAAAGTGACTTAAGAGAAATTTTTAATTTTGTTATTTATCCTTCAAAAATTCTATAATACCTACTTTATCTTTTTTTGAGGAATTTTTTATTTTTTTTAGTTGCATTAATTCAACTAATAAATTTGTTGTTTGACTTTTGATTATATTATTTTCAAACAATATAAATTCGATTTAAATAATGTGATTCGAATCTGATTCAATTGTCTAACGAATTTTATTTTTTACAGTGCATATATGAATTCGTTAAAATAGATATCTATTCTGATCCGAATAAGTTGATTAGAGACAATTTTAACATTTAACACATAGATTTCTACTCAATTTTATTAAATAATTACCAGTTTATAGGTACATAGAGCACATCCAAATTCTCTAAAAACCAAATATTTGAATAAATCTAATAATATATATACTACTTTCGAATGTCAATACTTGTCCAAAAAAACATAATTGATAATACTATCCTTAAAAGGATAAAAAAACAATAATAACCTATTTTAATAACTTCTTATTATTCCAAGAAATCAATAGTCATTCATCTATTAATCACTTACTAAAATTAAATATTATAATTTTTAAATGCAATGTAATTCAGTTCATACAATCCAAAATACAAAAAAAAAAATTTAGCGTAACAGTTACCCCACATCTGCAATGTCACTTTGTGTAACTGGCCACTACCAAGAAAATAAGTGGACAAGTGAATCTCATAAAATGCAATACTTATCATATAATATATAACCATCTAATTTATCTATTTTTTAATTGTTTTATTGAACAGTTACGTTTACATTGAATATTTCATTCCAAAATATAATGGTAATTATTGGGAGTTACTACCAACTGAGGAAGCATGGCTGTTGTACAATTTTTGGAGTTTCATAACTCTAATTCATAATAAAACATGGGAGAAGTTAGACGGCCAAGTTTTTGGGTCCTATAAAATGTCCAAATATTCTCACTCCTGAGATCCTTCAGACTTACGATTTGGATGGGGCCCTGGCCAAATGTTTATATTACATTTGGATTGGTATTCATCTATTGTAAAAAATAAAAGTCTTTATCATTAAAAGTTTAGTAAGAATACTTCAAGGTATGACTGGTTATTACAGTTTTGGACTGCATATCTTACAACGCTAAGCCAGTTCAGCTCTCCCTCTCTAATCTAGCTCGCTCTCTCTTTTTTCGGTCTCTCTATCACCACACACACACATATTTTGTTGATGCATATATTAAGTGAAAGTAAGATTACTGTAGTATTGATGAATCTCTTCGAACATTGAACATCTATGTAGTCTTGCAATAGCAAAAAATTGCACCCCTCCTCCGTTGGGTGTTGTACTTAATTTGAGATAGCTTTTAAAGAGGTTGCTTATTGAGGGTTCTTTGCTTTTTCAAACACTTTCTCCTAATTATTTTATAGCTTTTATTAGGAAAAATATTTGATAACTAAGGGCAACCTATCAATTGTATCTCTCTCTCAAGGGATAAAATTGTTTGGTAGCATAATAGTCGATTTTAGTGTTTGAGGCAATTTTATGGTTGAATCACTCACTGCGTTGACATGCGTTGGCCATTATTAATGGATTTAACTTTTCTGAAATTTTTCTAAGAATAATCAATTATTCATATAGTTTTGATTATAATTATGTATGTTCATGTTGATGAAAAATGGAAATCACATTACAATAAAAGAATTTTTGGAATGGCTTTGAAAGTTAATAAATGCTAGATAGAAAAGGATGGGTCTAGATGTTTTCAATATTTCAATAAAACACCTAAAATGTCCGGCACTTGTCCCAACGTCAAAGTCAAATGCCTTTAAAGACTTTTTTTTTTATTGCAATGTCAATGATAATGAACCATTCTAGCTAAAACTCCTTTATAAGTATTATAGTTGAATCCTTTAATAAAATTATTTGTTACGTACTCAATGACAAATACAACTTGAATAATAAAAAAATGGAGCCAATTTGTTGGTTCTATGGTAGATATTGAAAATAAACATAAATTAATTGATTAATTAAATACGTAGATATTCTCATCTCATTTCGATTCAAAGATTTTTTATTGGACTCCCTTTGGATCCTAGCTCATTAAGCTCAAAATCTTCTTGATCGACAATTGTGAAATAATTAACTGTAAGAAGATTTCAATGACGGTCTGATGGAGAAAATTATTTACACGAAACTGTAATAATAATAAGTCTCACACTGTGAAATAATAGGGATAAAGTTATGTAATAGACAATTAAAAGGATGATAAATAATTTTGATTTATTTACAAAAAATACATCAAAATAGTTGATATACAACGAATGTGTGCATCACTTAATTTTATGGAGGTGGGATGCCATAAATTTCCTTAAGTTGGGGGCTAATTATTTATACTCTTCCAAGCCATGATGTGATGTGACACGGCCCTACTATCTGGTCCTAAGCCCATCATGGAATTTACATAGGCTCCAAAAGGATAAATTTCATAAATACCCTTGAATTATGAACTTTGTTTTAAAATTGCCTCCTGAGTTTTTTATTTTCTCAAATTTTTCCTTGAACTATGTGATGAGCCCGAATTTTACTAGGCCCAATTAAAATAAACCACGAAGCCCAAGTACTCAGGACCCAAGACAGAGCTCAAGGAAAGCTGGGCTGATCCGTTAGAAGGAAATTCAAGAAAGCTTCAAGAGGCGAACGTCTAAGAGGCCAAGGCCCAAGCACTTGGGGCGCCGCCCAAGGGGGAGCCACCCAAGACTACCCCCTTGTCCTCCTACGTCCTCTTGACTCCACTGCAAACCTAAGCTTACTCCGATTCAAGTTCAAGGACAAGACCAAGCCCGGTTCAATTTAGAATCTTCCTCCAATAGGAGCACAAGGGAGAGAATGTTGGGATAGAGACCTAAACTTACCATGATTGCTCATTTCCCAAAATGGAGGAAAAACCTCTCACTCATGTCACCGCCTCACCGCTTTACTCTAACTATATAATGTACGCCCACTCAACATTTAGGGTACACCTCTAAAACCTCTACACCTCCCCTTATACACACACACACACACACTCTCTCTCTCTCCCTCTCTAAGTACTGTAATACTTTTGGGAAATACTCTCTCTAGTGATTTTATCCATTAATAAAAGACTCAGGCCACTATTGCCGTTTACGAGATTGGAGTAGGTCACCCAAATTGAACCACTATAAATCCCTGTATTAGCTATTTATTTACTGCTTTATTATTTAGAACTTGTTTATTGCTCATTGACTGCACTCATTCATATTCTTGACTGTTGATTTTGCACAACACCGATTTGTGCATTATCAGTTTGGCGTCGTCTGTGGGAAACGACTAATTTTCCTACTCTTTTAATCCATGACAATCACTACCAGATCAATGAGCCAACAGCCGGGAGACAACAATGCACCCCACTGGGAGGAGGCTCCCCACCCCTCGCACTATCTGAATCATCTACTACTATGACTCCTACTGGGCAATAACAATAGCTCCTCCAAACCATGCAGCTACTGGTGGGTCAAAACCAGTAGATCATCCAACTCATGCTTTCCCAAAGGGGCGTCACACCTCACCATGTGGGAGGAGCTCCACTCCCTCCAACAGCAGAGGAGCAACGACTTGTCCTTTCTGGGCGCTAGGCAGCCCCCCACCATGGGGCCCCTCGCCAGAACACTCCATGGTTGCGTCAGGGCGGTCCTCGCCCAACAGTCCCTCCTCAGCATGCAGGGAGTTCACGAGTTCCCCTTTATGAACTGGTACGGGAGAACAAAGATAGAGAAATTCAATACGAAGACCATGAAAGCCGGTGCCATCACCCGACTGAGGATGTCCCCAACCACTGGGGCAAGAAGATTAGGGAAGTGCAAAACCAACTCGGTGATACCCTTAACACCATCAAGACACAGGCGCCTGAAACCGTGGACTACTTGGTAAGACGCACTGATACGCCTTTTATTGCTGATATTGTCAATTATCCTTTGCCTTCAAAGTTCAAGATGCCCAACGTTGAGATCTTCGATGGCACCAAGGACCCGCTCGACCACCTTGACACATATAAGTCCCTCATGCAACTTCACAACGTGCCTGAGGAGATTATGTGCAAAGCCTTCCCTACCACCTTGAAGGGGCCTGCCCGCCAGTGGTTCTCCAAGCTCAGGCCCTCCTTCATCTGTTCTTTCGTCGAGCTGAGTAGGTCCTTCGTCTCCCACTTCATCGGGGGACGTTGGCATTAAAAACCAATGACCCACCTGCTTATCATCAAACAGGATAGGGACAAAAGCCTCAAATACAACCTTGTCCGCTTCAATGAGGAGATTCTCCAGGTTGAGGAGCCAAATGATAAGGTAGCTCTGGCTGTTTTTATCACTAGTTTCC